GCAGGAAAACTTGAGTCCCCTTAAAGTATAATCCACTACTTTCACCTTCCTGCACGCGAGACAGGCACCAGGTGGGATCTGTTTTTTTTACAGCCACAGACTGAAGTCGACTCACTTTCTCATAGGAACACAGGCGTCACCTCCGACCTCTCCTCTGGTAGACCTTTGACTCCGAGGTGCTTTAGTCAGAGAGCATGCTGGCTGGATTTTGAAGTCAGGGTTATCTCTCACGCAGTGTGTCTTCTCCACACGGAGTATCACACACATTCACTTTCATGGATGAGCTTTGTGTGTGTGTGTGTGTGGTTTTGTGTAATGGAGAAAATGGCATGTGCTAGATCAAAGGTTGTTTTTTTTTGAGACCATAAAAGGGAACGTGGGAAGTGTCTGCTAAGGATTAACCGATATGGGATTTCCAATACCAGTTATTAAGCATTAAAATTCATACAATATCTTTTAGATAAGACACTATCTTTTGATTTAATTTGCAAAGAGTGAACTCCTTTTCTGGAATGAGTAATATAAACACACAACACAAAAAACACTGGAATTTAATGTCCCCAAGTTTAGCTTTAATTAAACAGTGTACACACACACCACTGCACAACTATCGCACATTTATGTAACAAGGAAATGGAGCACGTCTCTCATTAACACTGTCATTCTTAAAGTACCGGTAGTAATAGGTGATCATACCGGGTATTGCGATACCTTTCTAGTATCCGTATACTGTGTAACACTACTTTATTGTACTATGTCGTCATTATCTGTTTTTACAGCAGCCTCATGAGTGCTAACTGGAGGAGCCGCAGCTGTTGACAAATACATTGTTTAACACTTTTATCTGCCTACATCTATGTTGCAGTACGGTCATATTGTGCCTATAAATGCCCTATAGGAGGGACTTGGAGGAAAGTGAAATAAAAACCTTACTGTAGCAATACTGGATTTTGAACATGGTTTTTATATTGATATGTTGAGTTTAAAACGGCGATAAAGGTATGTTTGCTAATATTACTTTTATTTAAGGAACCCTTATATTTTAACTTTAAAGAGCTGTGACTAACGTACTGAGTGGGACTGTTGAAAAGTAAACTTGCCAGTGCTTATCATATACATTATGATACCATTTACGCAGATACAATATAACTTCATTAAGCAAATAATAGGTGATATATCGGCCCAGCTGATTCACTGACTGTCCAGGATGGTGTTATCCTGGACCTATATCCTATTCAGTGTTATCAACGAGTAAATCACTGAAACTTTTATTGGCAGAAGTCGATTATTGGTCAATAAATGCATCTATAATCGGTTTACCGGTAATATATACAGCGTGACTCCAACTAGCATGAATGCAAACACTTAAAGACACACACCTTCCCCTTTACTGGTCTCAATCAGGTTTTATCTGAGAGGATAACAGCGATCTACAGTGTGCCCTTCACATTAGTGTGTGTGTCATAAATAATCCTGTCTCACAAGTTTAGTCACAGGTATCGCTCACACATCTTTGTGTGTGTGTGTGTGAGAGAGAGAATTCCTTTGCTGATGCCTCTTCCTGGCATAGTGACAAAGGTCACACACACTACAATACCATATTGGTCTAATACACACACAGTAATTACACATTGGTTAATTAGCATCAGCGTTAGAGGTGTGTACATGCACCATTTGTTAACCCACTATATAAACACATTCCCACAGTGATAGAAGTAGTCCAACATTAAACCTCAGTTGATGGTATCGCTGTGTGTGACAGACAGCGGGTAGCAGGCCTTATCTGGGCTGCTGTTGTGTTCGGTGACATACTGCTGCATTAGCATTTCCCGTCAGCCCGAGTGCCGTTTGCGAAATAATAAAAGCTGTTCGGGATTATTACAATCAAAGCTGCAGAAAGTATAAACGGAACAGTCTGTTCTAGTTTTTGCCACATGACATTTTCTCATTTTTGGAAATTTAGCTGAGACACTCAAATAAGCTTCAAAATGACACTCTAAACATGGCGAGGTCGGGTTTGTGCCCTTTACAAATAATTTTCCCTTGTTTTTTTTACTGTGAAAAATTAAGGTTTTTCACAGTTTTTTATTTGTCAAATGAAGCCAGCATCAATTACAGAGAAAATCTCTTTTGCATTGTTTGTGTAAGCACCAGCACCTCATGTATTATTTAGTGAATTGTCTTTTACAGCTTTTAAGATAAGTCACACCTTTCACAATCACAGTTGTTAAGTTTTGTATGTGTGGCATTCATCCAAGTATGCCGTGGAGTCATTGTGCAAGTGGTTGTTGTAGTTAGTAGTTCATTTATAATCTGTCCACTACACACTACTACTACTTCAAGACTACACCTCCCATGATTCACCCAAGCAGCCTTGTCGGATGACATTATCATGGTGGCACAGACTGAGAGGTTTGACCTATTCAGTGTAGTCAGAATGCAGTTGAGTGATTGATTAAACAGTGATATATTGTTTTTTTGAGCGTAGCAAGTGTTAGCAAAAGGCCACACAAATATTAAGAGTTTGGAAGTGTTCTTCTGGAATGCTACTGCAGTTGGACATGTCTTGGAGGTGTGAGGGAACATGGCTATTGTTCTGGACTTGAGCTCCAGTAAGGTTGTATTTAATTTTATTTTTTTGTTGACGCCTGGAGGTATGGGAGTGTAGGATTGGACCACGGCCTTGATAAATGGTGGTTTAATGTTGGACTTTGGCTTGGACACAAAGGAAAGTTGGACCGGACCATTTTCTGGAGGGATGGGTGTGTAGGATTGTACCATGGTCTTGAGGTGCTCAGGAGTTGGCCTGCGATGGTCTGCAAATATGCGCGTGTAGGACTGGACCATGGCCATGAACATGGGGGCTGTTGGTATCGACAATAACCTGGAGGCACGTGTCCGTCGGACTGTACCATCTACCCGAGGAACGGGGGTGAGGAGGACTGCTGCACTGGACTTGAACTACATGCGGTTGCACTTGTACCGGACAGCGTGTTAATTATCCACCACTGGCTCTTAGACGGGCTTTGTTTGAACCCAAGTGGACCAGTGTCTCCACAGTAACGGTTACCAACGGTTACGCAAGCTTGACGACGGCAACCGTCAATGACCCACATTCCAGCAGTAAATCACAACACACACATTCCCAACTCCACCCTCGCCTATCGAAACTACGCTCAGTGTTTCCACTCTGCCCGACTGTGTCTCTATCAGACGTGGGACATGGGAGAGAAAGAGATGAGGAGAGAGGAACGTTTTGTTTTTTATTTAAAGAAAGAAGAAGAAGAAAACCTTTTCATCAGCATTCCTCTCTTTTTTTTCCTGCTCTCTGTCCAGTCAATCCTCACATCTACTAACTGTGTTAATATATGTGAGGAGGCTACAAGCAGACTTTAACAGTGTAGAATTAATCTAGTTAAATTGTGTAAATCGTTGCCTCAAATCACCCTGCTCTCACACACACACACACACACACACGCTAACTCGTTTGGCCACTTGTCTCTCCCGCTGAAACACTGAGAATTCAAATCTGCTTTGTTGGCATCCTGACAGGAAAGATACCTTCGTTGTATAAGAACCACAGTCCACCATTTCCACTTCGGAAGGCACAACATCCTCTTCTAACACCACGAATAAGGACAAGTTTGTAAGCAATAAAACCTTAAAGAAACTCAAAGGTTAAAGTGCATAATTTTCTAAAGGAAAACAGTTAAATTCTTAAGGGGAATACCATCTACACAATCCTAATGGGTTATTTCAGAGAATTTTATGCAAGTTTCAAGGCTATATATTGTGATGTCGTGTCTCCTCATATTTTTATTGTGTTTAAGCTATTTTGCACGTGGTTGCTACCATATTACCGTGATAGTTTAGCATCCGGTTTGACTTCGCTGGGATGGTACATGATCGTTTCCGTCCTGGTTCAGTGAGAGCAAGATTATATCGCCTATTAGTTTTGAGCACATGCTCGCTTTGTAATGTCTACATGCTCCCTCGGAGATCTAAGGCTTTCTAAGACTGTTTAAATGGCAGCTACAATGAAATATGAGGCCAGTTTTACAGCTGAACCTTAACGAATGCACACACATGCTGTGTCAGCACCGTGTTACATATGATTATATCAGCACTGGGTGTGTATGTTTTTAAGACATTCTTGTACTGTAGTAGACTACAGAAATGTCAACATGCAGGCAATAAATTTGCACCTACATGCGCATACAGTGCAGATAGCCCTGGGTGTCTATTTCAGCCGGCTGCTTTCACATCCAGCATCGGCACTGGCTGCGCTTGAGCCTGTGTAGTGTGTGTGTTTGTGTAAGAGATAGCGGTTTCCTCAGGCCAGCACTGTGAGGGAAGTCTAAAACACAATAAATGGCAGAGCTTTATTCATGAGACAGGAAGTAAGGACGTTTCCTGGAAAGAGGTTATGTCCGTTTGGTCATTATTATAGGGACAATAAGAATTTCCTCGCAAATAAGCTGCACCCAAGTACATTCAAAATAATACATCGGAGGTGTATGATTTGAATACATTCCATAGAATTAACACCACATACAGAGACCTTTCAATGAAATTTGTTGGGAAACAGCGTTATTGAAGTCAGTAGCAGTGCACAGAAGTAAGTGAAGGAGGTTTGAAAAAAAAAAAACAGGTCAGCGAATGACGAAAACAAACCCTCTTTTCTTGACGTCACACAACCTGCTGACACACTGCACTTCCTGGCTCTCAGCCAGTGTTGCTTCTGTTCTCCCGTGACAGTCGAGGCTGCTGAACAGTCACCTCACTGCACAGTCCTGGCTTGATGACGACTGTTTTTTTAACATTGTAAAAATAATCATCACGGAGCATTTGAATCTGTTGGCTTGAAATGAATAAGTTGTCTTCCTTAATGCCAAACCATTAACAGGTTTTCGTATGCATGTAAACATTAACGTACTGAATGTAGAATGTAGAGAAATACACATTGTGGACTCATTGTGGACTCGCTCTCTCTTGAACAGGACTTGGAGTTCCACGGCGTGATGCGGTTCTACTTCCAGGACCGCGTTGCCGGAAACTTCGCCACCAAGTGCATCAGAGTGTCGAGCACCGCGACAACGCAGGACGTCATTGAGACGCTCGCCGAGAAGTTCAGACCCGACATGAGGATGCTGTCCTCGCCAAGATACTCACTGTATGAGGTCCACGTCAGTGGAGGTGAGTCCCATAAACTGGGGATAAGACGAGAGATATCTTAACAATTCAGTGTTTCAATGTTAGGAATAATAATACTACGACATAGTGGACTCTCAGATGAACTGGTGTGTGTCTTTGTGTGCGTGTGTTAGAAGAGCGTCAGCTGGACCTGGACGAGAAGCCTCTAGTCGTTCAGCTGAACTGGAACAAAGACGACAGAGAAGGGCGCTTTGTCCTGAAGAACGAGAACGACATCCTCCCTAAGGTCGGCTGCTCTCTCTCTCTGTTGTTGTCTGTTAACCTGGTTGAGAACCTGAAGCACCTAAAGCTACTGGCAACATACCTCATCTAGCATATCTGGATACATGTTGGTATTTGGAGACATTGTTGTGTACTTGATTGGGACGATTGGACAAATGCAGACCTCTCATGTTGAGATGTTTCCTGCAATACAATCGAGTGAAATATTTAATTTGACAAGTAAGATGATTTGTGTAAGAGGATTAAAGAAAATCCTCTTTTCCTCATTCAGTTTGTTCACCCATTCATACATACAGAAATGCATACCAACTGAAGCCGGCCTCCCCTCGCAGTCTCTAAGAGCACCTCATTAACGCTTCTTCCCCTCTCTGCCAGAAGAGTCAGAGTAATGGTCCAGAGAAGGACGGCGTGATCCAGAACTTCAAGAGGACTTTATCCAAGAAGGAGAAGAAGAAGGAAAAGAAGAGGGAGAAGGAGTTCGCCCGGATCCCCGATGGAGACGAGCAGGCGCTCACCCGGGAGGACGGGTAAGACTCACTCGCTCATCCATCTCACTGTCTTGCACTTATACATCCTCTCAGCCCTTGGAGAGGATCTAGTTTTTTTATTTTTATAATGCCAAGAAAAGCACAGAAAGCTCCAAAAGAGGAAAGATTTAATATTTGACCTTTCTGTTTCTCCATCTATCATATTTCCCCTCACCTATTCTGTCTTCTCCCCCCCCCCCCCCCCCCCCTCCCCTGTGGTTTAGGGAAATCAGTCGCCTGGCAGCAGAGGTTTACAAGGACATGCCGGAGACCAGCTTTACCAGGACCATCTCCAACCCAGAGGTGGTGATGAAGAGGAGACGCCAGCAGAAACTGGAGAAACGCATGCAGGAGTTCATGAGCAGTGACGGGAGGCCCGACTCAGGTAGTTGAACCATTTGTGGAGCCTCTAATGACCCCTTTAAAAAGACAAACAACACACACACACACACACACACACACACACACACACACACACACACACGTGTATCCAGAACATTTCCTTCGTGCATGGTGCTCAGTAGCTATCAGAGGAAAAAAAAACAAGCCAATGACATCACCGTACATCTCTGGGACAGAACAGTGTCGAGGCATAGATCCAGATAAGGGAATGAAGAAACAATCCCTGGAGCTTAATTGGATTCTTTATTATGAAATGTAGGAAAAGTCTTTAACACTTCCTCTAACTGGCTGTGTGCCCAGATGCAGCACCCAGGCACGTCTGCTGTAGTCGAAGGAGTGATGAAGAGCTTGATGATTTCTTTGTAAGAGCTTCTCTGCAGAGATTGCTGAACTTGTTATAAGGACAACCATCTCTGCTGCGCCTCTGAGTTAAAGACATAACGGCCTGCCAAGACAAGAGAGCACTTAAGCAATCTGAGACACATAGGAGTAACATCATTTTCTTTGAGGCAAAAAAAAGTGTAACTGTTCAGCCTGGTTCTAGAGCTTTTATTAGATTTGGTGGTGTCCAGGGGTTGGAGACACAGTTGACCAGAGTACAGTAGATTAATAGTCGGGATGTCATCGTCCTATCGAGCTACATTGATGAAAAGTAGTAACAGAAAAATGCAGATAAGGTTGGATGAGATTGATGCAGTTGTACAGGCTTTTGTAAGAAGATTTTATCTTACTGAAGTGGAAGGAGTCTCTGTGCTGAACCTGGAATGAACAAGTAGCACCCAGCTAATAGCATCCCGATTATGTAGCACAGCGTTGGTGGAAATGACAGGGATGCCTCACAGCAGTAGGAGCCAAAAGACTGATCAGGATTTAGGGAACGATAAGTGGAGCCAAATCTGAAAAAACCTGCTCCCAGAGGGGGGGGTGGAAGAAGCTGAGGTGTTCTGCAGTTGTAATCACCACCGGTAGTCCTACTTTTTTATCATCAGCTGGTCCACAGAAGAGCATATGTCTGTGAGGGACGTCTCAAGCTGACATGTTGACCCACACCAAAATAAATATGTCCACGTTGAATGAATGAACACAAACATGCTGGCTGGTTCGGGTGACTCACACATTACCTAATCATTCTGCCAGACAGACAGATGGACCAGTGAACCCGACTCTAAAAACTGCTTTAACCACCGTCCGCGCGCACACGCACGCGCACACGCACGCGCACACGGTGGGACAGGGTGGCTTGCGGTTAGACAATGACGTTGTCTCAGCAGTAACTGCTATTTTAAACAAGCTCATTTTGTATAATTGCCTCTGAAAAACCCTGTTTGCTTTGCTGAAGACTCCCATGTGGGTTTTACGAAGGTGATCATTTCTAGTTGACACATCACGGTCACGCGGCTGCGCGTGTCTCCGGATGAAAGTGTTGTGCATTAAATACATTTTACGAGCGCTACAGTAACTGCTGGTTCTATTTTTCTTTTTTTCTTTAAAGGAAAATGTAATTCAGCACTTTAACTTTCCTGTTCTGTGTATTCATGTCATATATTCAAGTCGGTGTGGCTTCACGGAAACGTGTCTGGTTCTATGTCCAGAGGGACGTTTCCCGAAGAACTGATCATTACCGTTATTGATTGGCACGGATGGCGTTCGAGCTGAGGAAGACATATTTTTATCCAGCGTCAGTGTTCAGTAGTAGTAGACACACGGGCAGCTTGGACAAGCAGACATGAGTACCAGCACGGGAGCAAAGCAATGTACTGCTTTGGATGTGGACAGCAGCAACACGTATATAAGCCACCTAAGAAAACAAAATCAATGTCAGTTCAAGTGTATACGATATTTACAATATAGCGGCTTCAGTTTCCCCGTCGCACAGCATTTGTTAGAAGGGTGCATTTACTAACAACATATGCGTGTCGTTCTTTCCTGCAGGGGGCACTTTACGGATATACGCTGACAGTCTGAAGCCCAACATCCCATATAAGACCATCCTGCTCTCTACAAGAGACACGGCTGACTTTGCCGTGGTGGAGGCGCTGGAGAAGTACGGGCTGGAGAAGGAGAACCCCAGAGAGTACTGCATCGCCCGGGTAACGACGTTTATCTCACTGCAACTCCTTCACCTTTTATCTTTGAGGACCTCATCATCTTAAAAACACCAAAGCACAAACCAAAACCATCACATTTGTTCTCTTCCCGTACAAGTTAAACACTTTCAGGAAAACTTGGCTTTAGGAATATGCAAGTTTTGTCCTTTTTTTTTAAAATTTGTGACCTGCAAGCCCCTCCAGCTGCAGTGGATACTGTTCAACAAGATCACTTTGAGTATACTGTACATATCTGATTGCAGCACCTTATTTGTCATCATCTGACAAGCAGAAATTCAAAAGGGAGTGTACTGCTGACCACTGCCCACTTCTTAACACTTACACACTCCTAGTTCTCCACTAAACACAACCTCGATCTTCCTATCTCATCAATAAACACATCTCCATCATCCATCTCCCTTCTGAGAGGCTCTTTGCAGAGGACAGCCAAGGTCATACACACACACATAATGCGCACACACATAATACACACGCACACACACACTTAATGCACACACTCTTCACCGGACTGGCAGATTGAGACAGAATGCTGCTTGGCACTAAAATCTTTGTAAGGAATGCAATTGCTTTCAGACTGAGTGCTATCGCAGCAGCAGATGCTCTGTCTACGTTTGTATGTGTCTGTCTTTTGGTGGATGTCTGCGCGCGTGTGTGTGTGTGTGTGTGTCCGTGTATGTGTGCGCGCGTGTGTGTGTCAGTGGCGGTGAACTTGGCTGCCCTCTTCACAGCCTCTCCAATATCTATCCTCTCAGATGGACTCTGGCTATGGCCAATCATATGAAATAACTGCTGCTCCCACAGCCAATACAGTGGAAGACTCTCCTGGGACTACACACACACACACACCCTCATTCTCACTCTCAAACACACACACACACACACGCACTGTTGATAGTCAGTAGCAATTTGCTGAACAGACTAAAGGACAGGAAAAGTCCATTAGGTTAGTGAGCATGAGGAACAAGCACTATTATTCTAGCTAGTAGCATGTCAGCTCGTGTGTGTGTTTTTTTTTGGGGGGAGGGGGATGTTAACTGAGATGAGACTGAACTGGATGTAGGCATGTAGGACGGCTGTAGACTACAGTCTGCAGAACAACTGCAATATTTACAAAGCCTGAGAACAGCATAATTTCATTAGGGAGGGGAAACCTATATCGTTGGCCGTTTGTTCTCAGAACCAGTTCATACTGTTTGTAATGACTCATCATGACAACTTAAAAATGTGTGTTCTGCAATATAGGAGTCATCTCCATTTAAATCCAGTACATACTGTATACTTCACACAATCGAATGTGTTGAATTAGGTTTAGTCCTCTTATTAATCAATACAGCTTTAACTAAGAATCTTTATCTGTAAATCGTATCATCTTTTAGACACATTATTTAATTTACAGACGTGCTCATACTATGAGCGACAATCTGCATAGTTGCCACTCGTTGGCGTAGTTGCGTCGTTAAATAGCACTGGGAACATTTACATACACAATGACACAAATCTTTTTCACTACCTTTGTGTTTTATGAGGCAAATACCTTGAATATGGGTAAAATTTTTAGCGTTTTCCCGCAATATTTGCAGTCACTGACAGTAGAACACATCTACAGAGTCACTGGCAGAATTGGCCGCATGTATTTGCTTGAGGTGACTGATTTGTTTTCTGTGTTTTCTTCGCAGCAAGATGATAAGTCGGGCAAGGAGGCGATTCTGGACGATTCCGAGTGTCCACTGCAGATCTTCAGGGACTGGCCTGCTGACAGAGGTAACACACACGCGCACACACACACTTGGAAACATGCTCTCTCTCTGACACACACCTCACAAAAATTCTATGAGTGTTCTCCCAAGTTCAGTTGCTCTTCTCTTGCCTGCTACCGCCCCCTCCTGCTGCCTTGCAGCCATTACAACTGTGTCAGTAGCTCCTCACCTCTTCAGTCCTGTTGGTGAAAAATACGACATTTCACTGTGACACGTTAAAGCTTTTTTTTGTTATGCCGTGTATCAGGATCGCTAGTGTTCCAGCTGAAGAAGAGACCCCCCGACCACCAAGGGAGGAAGGGAAGGAAAGTGGACGACAAAGGCCTGCAAAGGAAGGATGGCAGCAGCAGCTCACTGCCGCCAGAGAAACTGCCTTACTTGGTGGAGCTGAGCCCAGGTAGAACCACAACACACAACACCCTCATGTCTGCCCCTGTATCTGCGGCGTCTTGGGTCTAGAATCCATCAGTCGCTACCCCGGAGGAGCGCTGCTGCTACGACAGGTAGCGGCCAGCAGGCAGCAGGGTAGCTGCAGTCGATAACATTCAGGTTTACTCAAAGGTTACCCGTGCTAATGTGAGTAAATCACGTGTGTTCTGTGGTTTCTGCTCCTTCCAGCACAGGATTTCCTCACTATATAAAAACCACAGCAGGGGGTTAAAGACTTGCTGCAGTATGTATATATATATATACGGTATATAGGAGGCAGCTCTTAGAATCAGCTCAATTTACCTGCAGATGATGGTGTATGCTACCTCCGCTTCACTTCCATTCCACACCCCAAATTTGATATGGATAATGTTCTATGCAGTTTTTTTTCGTTTGTATAGATCTGTAATAACAATCCAATGCAGAGTTCTGCTGGATTTAAGTGTGCACGAAAAAATCTCTGCGTTACAAATCCTGCACCAGAAATGTAAATATAGTGACCCAGTTGAACAAGATGAATATGCCAGAATCCTGGAGGTACAGTTGACATCAGACTGTTTTATAAACACTGACTGAATAAAGAAAAAAGTCCTCTGAACCCCAAGGAGGTTCCAGGTTTTTTAAATACCCGTCACATTTTTCTCTCTGTGGCCTCGTTTTTTCTCTGCGATATATAAGTCCTGCACCTCTATGGAAACGGCACGATCATGGCTAGAAGTGGGTAGAACTTGTCTTTTGTGCAGTACAACACAGTTATAATGCCATAAACCAATGTCTGAATTAGAAGTAGACTGGGTAGGTTGAGAGGCTTGGAGTGCAACAAAAGGTGAGTCACTACAACAAAACTCCTGGAATGCAGTGAGGAAATGCCAGTATGGAGACACCAGTGTAATGCTTAAAAAAACATCCAAATCTCCCGGGGCATCTTGGGAAACAGCTTCACCTTGCTAAATGCGACCAGAACTAACAACTTGTTTCTTGCTACTGATCCCCCTCTCCCTCTTGAGCTCCTCTTTGTCTGTCATATGCCTCATGTCATTAACTTATTTGGGCTGATGGTGACCCAAACACTTCTCAGCAGTAAACTGTAGTGCTGAGGCGGTGTAGGGAAAACCAGTGGGTCTGGTCCAAGGATATACAAACACATCTACATCATTCCCTGTCAGGTTGATCACATTCTGTGGAAAAGATGGGACATTGATTTGGTGGCTCTCCTAAATAATGGGTGCTGGGGGTGTGTGTGTGTGTGAGTGCGTGTGCGTGTGCGTGTGCGTGCGTGCGTGCGTGTTTGGTCCTGCCTTCTTGATAACCAATTTAGATCAGTGCAGTGGCTTTGATTAGTGTGTTTAAGGCTGTAAAGGAATGATTGCAGCTTCGGTTACCTGCAGCTCAATCCACCATATTGATTTAAAACGGTGGTGAACTGATGTGCAGATCTGTGTTTAAGGTGTCATGTTAATAGGTTTGTTTTTTTTGGATAAATTTAGGTTATTCAAAGTTAATTTAGGATTAGGACATACTGTCTGGTACAATAGTATTGCATTATATCTAAAAAGTAGACAGTGAAAGGTGCTCAGGAACATTTTGCGTGCGCGCGCGTGTGTGTGTGCGTGCGTGCGTCCGTGCGTGCGTCTGCCTGTCTATGCTTGTATGCCGCCATCCAAATAATGGGTTAACAAGGTAATGCTGCATTTTCACCCTCTGCTATGTGTCTGTTTTCTTTCCCACCTTCTTATGGCATGGTGTGTGTGTGTTTGTTTGTTTGTGTGTGGGGTCTTGTGCATGTTTCCTTCTTCCTCCGCACCTGCCTGCCTGTTTGCCTAGGGCGAGGGAATCACTATGCCTACTACGCCTATCGGCACCACGAAGGTAAAATAATGCACCACACCTCCTCTGTGTCTGTTGCAATGGCTGATGGGATTGAAGTTAGCATCACCCTGGTTAGCTGGACAACAACAATTGTATTTTGTATTTTTTGAAACAAGCTCTGTGGCAAAGCAAGATACTCTTCACAAAAAACGCTTTTGTGTTGTTGTTTTTTAAAAGCGTGGATGCAGTTGCCAGAAGTACAAAGCTAAGATTAGGCTACAAGTGAACTACACCACGGTCACACGACTTGATGTCACCACCGCTAAGATAAAGGCGGACTTTTAGTCTCATTTAGCCACTGGTTGGCAACCCATCTTTCATAAAAGCTCCAGAATCCCAAGAGGGGTATTTACTGACGTGTTTTGTGTCGTAGAACAAAAAGTTAACATGTCTGAAACTTGTGTTGACTACAGCGCTTATTTCAGGCATCAAACCAAAAACACATTTAAAACACATTGACCTTGAGACGAGGGAACCAAAAGTGTAAAAAATTGCTGACTCATTCCTGCAGCACTCTGTAGCTACAGCTATTAGCAATTTAGATGTAAGACCTCAGTTCCTTTTTATTATGTCAGTTTAAAGTAATTTTTTGACATTTTGGAATAAATGTGCTGAGAGTTAGTTGAGAGGATTCAAACACTCAAATGTATGGTAAATATGAAGCCAAGGCCAATTAGCTTAGCTTACCTTAGCTTAGCTTAGCAAAAAGACTGGAAACGGGGAAATAGCTAGCTACCAAGGGTAGCAAAATCAACCTATGCTAAGCTAAAACAAGCCACCCGGCTGCTGGCTTTAGCTTCGTGTTTACCGCATGGACACGAGAGTGGTATCAATGTTGTCATCGAACACTCAGCGAGAAAGCAAATAAGTGAATTTCCAACATAACAAAGTAGCCAGTTTCTTCTTAAACCTCATTAAATCACTCTAAAGGCCAAGCTGTCCTGGTAGTCATGTCATATTAGCTTTTATCTGTATTATTTTTAGAAGTTGGTTCTGAGGTTTTTCTGATGCCCTTTCATTTTCCTCCCCCAGAGCAGCCAATGTTTCCCCCCTTTTTCTTTGGTGAACTAATATGCCGCTTTGCTTTTTACTAAACTCCTAATTACTAACGATCAATAATTGCTCTGCAGCACAACCAGCCCACCCACAGTTTATTTTGCCACATTAGCAGTGCATAACCCACTGTCGTCCAATCTGTATTGGCTCTTTCCTGTCAGCTGTGTGTGGACAGTTGATATATGACTGTGTGAGGCTGATTGTGTATACTACAGTTTCCTTGTGATGTGGGGAGATGCCCAGAGCTAAATGTGAGCGCTTGAATGTGTCTAGACGGGTCTGACTCCCGGGACAAACCAAAGCTGTACCGGCTTCAGCACAGCATCACCGAGGTGGGCTCAGACTGCACAGAGGACGGAGCCATCCAGGTAACTACATCACAAAAAAACGCTGGCAGTTAAGTCAATGCGAGTGAATAAAGAGTGCATTCTCCTCACTTTTTGGGTGACGAAATACAAACACATTTTTGTCCAAATTAACATTTTGTTAATACTGGAGGTTAGAGTGAGTATAACAGCAAATCATCAGCATTTACAGACACGTATTACTGGACATGGATCATATTAACATACGTTTACAAACACGGTATTCTTGTTTATCCATGTATGTTATGACTGACAAAGGGCTCTTATTTGCCCTTCCAGTCTTTGAAAAATCCCCTCCTCCTTTCCCCCACCCCAGATGGCACATGGGTAAGACAACAAACGCCATACTTGCGACCCATAAATGATAATGTTAGATCTGTGTAGATCTCTACAAATTTATCTGCAATATGCCAGTCATTTGTATATGTGACGCTAACCACCATTCACATGAGAAATTGGGCCGCTGTCACTGGAGAAAAATAATCACATCTTACATTTTTATCTTTGTGGTATGTACACAAGTCAAAACAAACACAAAGGACATGTAATCAGATTACTTTGCAAAAATAAACTTAAAATTTCAATTTGACTTAAAAGCTCCTGATGTAGTGTTCTTTGTGGTGACGTACCTGCACCATTGTTTGTCTCCAGCTGCTCGGCCCGGGGATCCTGCCCCACCACTGCAACCTCATGCACAGTGAAGGCATGGTGACCGTGACGCCTCACGGCCAGGACGCCGACACCTTCGTTGACGGGCAGCGGGTCAACGAGACCACGGTGCTGCGTTCGGGCTCCACCCTCCAGTTTGGTTCTGCGCACGTCTTTAAGTTCGTAGACCCGATGTTCGACCAGGGAGTGAAGAGAGAACCAGCCGCCATGATGAGGAGCCGACACAAGTCAGGGTGAGGGCAAGGAGGCGGTCTTCACCTCTAACGCACGGCTGCTCTTGTTCTCTTTCCCCCCTATTCTCCCTCTCATCCTCTCCACTCACTGTTTTCTCAAGTTTGTCAAGGGAGGAGAGGATGAGGTTTGGAGTTGGCGGGAAGAGCAAGAGAGATGAAGGGAAAGGAAAAGAGGGAGGAGGGAAGTCTTGGGGTTGGACCGACGGGGAGAATGAGGAAATGAGAGGCGAGTAAGAGCGGAGGTCTAGGGTTATGGCAGGCGGGCTGCCCTCTAATCTGATCAACATGGCGTTGGGTGTGGCCTCCTGCTCGCTGTCGTTTCACACACTTAACAGGAGACAGAAAGAGGGAGCACACCAGATAAGAGAAGGGAGCATGTGAGCTGGCTATGGATGAGAGAGAAACAAGAAAAAGAGGTTTTGAATCAGAATTGAATGGCCCTTTAATGACTCAATGGATGACTAACACCGCAAGAAAGAGAGAGGCGTGTACTGTAAGTAAGTGACGCCGTGTTTCTGCATGAATTGGTTCTTACAAATAATTCAAGACTAGAAGCATTCTGGTTTCTCTTGTGTAGCTGGTCCTGGTAGTTTTAGAGTAGTTTGAGTCCTACCATATAACTTTCTTAAGTGTTTTTAAATATGTAAAAAGCATTAGAAGTTTAAATCCGTAAAGTGTAAATTGTCTTTTTAAAGATGCTTTACTGCACCAGAAAGCAATAAACACTAAGTATTTTTAAGACAAAATAAGGTTCATTGTCTTGACTATTATAAATACAGCTACCGCATGAAGTTTGGTTGTGTTCAGTAGCGAGTTGTACGGACACACAATGACAGTGTTTGGGTTAGTGTTTAAATCAAGAGAGTGTTTGACTTATTTTTAAAACCACAAATTGAATAATGACATGCGGTTAATCATATATTTAACTATGCGGTCTGTAACAGGGCTCCTCAGAGGGTTTGAGACTCTCTTGTACGGGTTTGCATTCCAGCCAAAGGCGCCGTCAGGTGACTTTGATTAGCACCTTCAGCCAGGAGGAAGATGTAATCAGCAGGAAGGAAGAAACCTGCAGGCTCCGTTTCCTGTGAACTTTCCTTGTGTTTGGTCTTGTTTTGTTACCTTTTACTAATATGTTGTATTCAAACCATTCATTTCAGGTATACATTGGCACACCGTCGCATTTCTTTCTGTATATATACTTGTAATGAGATCAGATGGGTTACTACGCTAATTTAATTGTTTGTCAGTTTGTTTTAATTAAAATGTTGTGTGGGGACAGAAAGCTTTACTCAACACTTTATACTACTTTCCAGCCTTTTACAACAGATGCATCAGATCAGTCATGGAGGTGTGTGGTATGTTCTCTACTGACAGCTAGGTGCCACACTCAGTTTAAGTAGATAGCTCTGAACCTTATAGCTGTTTTAATCAATACATTACTAATGACTATGTATGTGAAATGGCCCGTTCGTAGCGATAAACCCACAGATAACAATCACTCTCTGTCCTCTCCCTCCGCTCTGGGTAGCATTGTAGCGTCTTTCAGCTCTTTGTTTTTAACTTACGGCCCACATCTTTTCTGTTTTGGTGCTCTCTGGCAGCCACAGGCAGCTGTTTTCAGCCCCACTGCACAGTAACTGCTCAAGACCAAACGTGAGACAAAGTTATTGACTAGTTAATAAACATTAAGAAAGATCTGGGCTGCTAAAGAGCCAGATATTTCCTCAAAGAGTTAGTGGAGAGCACCGGCTGTCATTTTGAGCAGTGTTGCCTCAGTCTGGAATAAAAGGCCGATGTGGTGGAAATGGATCCCTGTGGTTGTCTGGGCTGCTGTCCAATGTTCTGCTGTACAAACTTACAAGGCTACCTAGTTAATTTGAGCCGGAGACGCATCACGATGTTTGGAACGATCAGAGCCACGGTTTGGCACAAACGGCAGATGTTTGTTTTTTTAAAGAACGGAGCTCTTTGGCACCAGGTGCTGCTGGCGGTTGAACAGATGATCTTGTAGCATACGAGTGTTCAGAACTTTAATCTACCAGATGTCTGGAAAGAAACATAATCTGCCACCGCGTGTGTTTTGACTTGATGTTGCCAGCATTCCTCTTATCTGGGTTGTTTTTCAAGCTAAATATTTCCCAATCATTCTAAAGTGTACTTAATAAACATGGTGGTTATATTTTGTGAATTTCTATTCATTTGCCAGTAGACGTCTTTGCTTTGGCTTTTCTGTTGGTTCGACTTGGTTGTGATTGACAGAACAATCAGGCTTTAGCAATCACAACCGACTTGTGTTGCAAAACAGTACAGCAATGGTAGATCTCTATTTCCCCCTCATGTGCAAGCAATTTGAACAAGCAACGTTTTGGGAGGATCAGAGCGCTACCAAGTCTGTATTTCCAAAGAGTTTCTAATGGTTGAGGTGTCTGGTTAATGAGGTTTGCTCGAGCTTTACATGACTGTCCAGTTCTTGAGATCACCACATGACTCTCGTTTCCCCTCTTCATTGCAAGTTTATTAACTTTTTCTGCATTAATTTGAACAGCAGTTGAAAGGTCTTATCTGTGGGCTGTTAAAGTTGTCATTTAATAGATGGAAAATGTTACAAAATAAGTCATTTCTGGAAATGTGGTTTAAGATAGACAATTGGTCTCTTTTCTCCATCCAGCCGTAAGCGAAGTCTAGCTGTTAATGGTTTTAACCTAGTTTGGCTGCTTGAGGTTATTGTGTATGTGACAAAGGCACAGAGCACAAACGCTTTCTGTGTTTGTGTTGGTGCTGTACTGTTTGTTTGACATTGATGCCCTCCTGACATGTGGGGCGTGAAAAGCCGAAGCCTGTCTTTTAAACCCGCCTGCTGTCACACTCAATTACTGTCACTTAAACACACACACTCAGCGTACTGGCTTTGCTGCAAACAGTGCTCAGTCAGGTGTGATGTGGCCTCTCTACATCAAATTAGACTGTTATGTAAGTGTGTGTGCATATGTGTAAAGCAAACGTATCCATCTGCATGTATTCGTGAGTCATTCATTTTCTCCATCTCTGTTCCAGCTCTCTCCTCCCAGACGAAGAGTTAGATAAGTGAGTGTGTGTGTGTCTGTCTGTCTGTCTGTCTGTGTCTGGATTAAGTCTGAGCTTTTGTCGTTGTCAGTAATGAGAAGTCAGATGTAGAGAGCACAGCTCCTCAACTAAACCGCTGCATGTCTGTCTGTGCTGCAGCAGTGTACCAGAAACCACCTTCGATCTTCACGGAGACGTCCACAGTGGAGCTGCGCTGCCCACGAGCAAGGTAATGCACACACACACACACACACACACACACACACACACACACACACACAC